AATGCACGATGGGATAGTCATTGTCTATGCTTCCAGGCAGCTCAAGACTTACGAGAAAAACTATCCTACTCATGATTTGGAACTCGGCACAATGTTGTTTACTCTGAAGATCTGGAGGCATTTCCTGTACGGCGATAAGTGTTGCATATTCATTGACCACAAAAGCCTGAAATATATCTTTACGCAGAAGAATTTGAACTTGAGGCCGAGAAGATGGATGTAGCTCATCACTGACTATGACTACACGATCGAATATCATCCCGGTCATGCCAATGTAATGGCGGACTCTCTTAGCCGGAAATATCACGGACAACTTGCCTCCTTTAGAGCTATTCATGTTCCGCTACTATTTTCTCTTCGAGAAACTGGCGTTACTATGAAACCAAGCGAAAAGGGAGCTTAGTTGGCACACTTCCAGGTTAGATCTGTTTTGGTGGATATGGTCAGGGAAGCCCAGGAACTTGATGAGGAATGTGCTGACATAAAGAGACAAGTACTGGATGAGAAAAGGAAAAATTTTAATATCCGAAGGGATAGAGCCCTGGTGTTAGGAAACAAGTTGTATGTCCCTAAGGATAATGAAGCGGTGAAAAAAGAAATCCTTGATGAGGCTTACATTTTAGCGTATGCCATGCATCCAGGAAACACCAAAGTGTATCACACTATCCGTCTGTTTTATTACTGGGTTGGAATGAAATGGGATGTGGCGGATTATGTGAGTAAATATATTATCTGCCAACAAGTGAAGGCCGAGAGATAACGACCTGGGGGGCTAATGCAAAAGATTTTGATACCAGCATGGAAATGGGAAGACATCACTATGGATTTTGTGTATGGTTTACTGAGGACACAATTGAGATTTGAGAGCATTTGGGTAATTATAGATTGACTCAATAAGACCACTCACTTATTGCCTGTTTGACAAACCTATTCATTGGAGAAGCTGGCAAAGTTATTCATTGATAATATTGTCAGACTTTATGGTGTACTCATCTGCATCGTTTCAGACAGAGATCCTAGGTTTACTTCTAGGTTTTGGAGAGCTTTTAATACTGTTATGGGTACTCAGTTGTTATACAGCAGTGCCTACCATCCACAGTCCGATGGTCAGTCCGAGCGGACAATTCAGACATTGGAAGACATGTTGAGAGTGTCTGTTCTCCAGAGGAAGGGTAGTTAGGATAGCTATCTGCTATTGGTTAAGTTTGAAGACAATAACAGCTATCATTTGGGTATCAGCATAGCACCTTGTAAGGCTTTGTATGGGAAAGTGTGTTAGACGTCATTGTGTGGATAGAGGTCAGCGAACGAGTGTTATTGGGGCTAGAGATTGTGGACACCACCAATGCTAGCATCCAACTGATTAAGAGAAACCTAAAGGTAGCACAAGACCGACAAAAAAACATTGTAGACAACATTCCAGGGACCATGAGTATAAGGTTAGTGACTTTGTGTTCTTGAAGTTGTTTCCCTGGAATGGTGTAGTTCGTTTTGGTAAGCGAGGAAAGTTGAGTCCTCAATACTTTGGTCCCTACCAGGTTACTGAGAGAATTGGTGCAGTTGCCTATAGGTTGAAGCTACCACCGGAGTTGTCACTAATTCACAACATTCTCCATGTTTCCATGCTTCGAAAATATGTACCAGATCGCTCTCATGTCATTCAGTTAGAGCCACTGGAAGTAAGTCAGAATGCTAGCTATGTCGAAGAATCAATGGCTATCCTTGACCGACAGGATAAAATTTTGAGGAACAAAGTTATTTTGTTGGTAAAGGTCCTTTGGAGGAACCACACTGTGCAGGAAGTGACGTGGGAAATAGAGGATTTGATGAGGAATCAGTATCCGTTTGGTTAAGTTTGTAATTTGGGGGATGAAATTTTTATAAGGAGGGTAGATTGTTACACCCCATCCCCAATTATATGTATAATTTCGTATTTTTCCCAAAAGTTTAATGGAATTATCAATTTGGTCCCTAGTTCATTACCCAATCTAGATCTAAAAGTGGGATTTCCTCTCCACTCACAAGATGCCACGTGGTAGCACCCCAACTCTCCCCATCTCTCTCTTTTCCTCCCTTCCCCCGAGACCTTCTCAGATTCTCGATTCTCTCTCAACTCTCTTCTTTTTCTCTCTTTCTTTCTTTCTCTCTCTCTCTCTCTCTCTCTCTCTCTCTTTCTTTCTCTCTTTCTTTCTTTTTCTCTCTCTCAACCCTCACTCACCCTCCCCGATCTCACACCCACGCACGCCCTTCGTGGTACCCCAGCGACAGCGTAGTGTCACCATCACCCTCGTTGACTCTCTTTCTCTCTCCCTCGTCGTTGTGAGACATGGCGAAGCCCAGAAAACACTTGAGCGAGGTTTCTCGTCCCTCTGATTTGGGTAAGCCTCGAGACACTTGAAAACTTTTCATTTTCGTCCTTATGGCTGAATTCTAACCTAGAATATGCTTGTGGATTGTTGTTTTAGCATTGAAATAACTCGGGAGGGAGAAACCCAGCTTCGATAAGCCCCGCGTCCTTTGTGTCTCGTCGAGACCAGGCCTTGGGCTGGCTCACCCAAACCCAACCAAACCAGGCCCCGTTAGGCCGTGTTTAGGGCTCAAGCCTTAGGCCTTCTATTCATTTGACCCAAAAGCCCAACCCGTTCGATTTTTAATTTTATTTATTTTATTATTCTTTTCTAAACCCAAATGGACTGGGCCGGGCCTTTAAGCCCAAGCCCTTAGTTGTTTAGCCCAGGGCCTTAGGCCTATTCATCCTTAACCTAAAACCCTAGTGAGCCCAGGCCTTCGGGCCTTAGGACCAAGCCCAATGGCTAAGCCCAGATCCACCGGACCCAAACCCTTGATCCGATCCAACTCTAAACTGGCTTAACCCGATTGACTTTGACTGACCCGACCCAGACTCGTTGACCTTTCGGTCAATATTGATCGTTGACTTTGACCGATTAGTAGTCAACGTTGACTTTGATCGTTGACTTTTTGGGTTTTTGTTCGGGACCCCTCCTAAGCTAATTTCGACGTCCTAAACTCGTTTCCAACATTCGTTTTAGTAGATTTTGACTAAATGTACCCTTTATGTGCTTAGGTGCAATTAATATTGGCGTTTCTGTTATTCCTTTTGGCAGATTTTGCACCAAAGGTGTACGGTGAGTGGACCCCTTCTAAAATGCATGTTTTAATAGTAGAAATTCATACATGAAAAGCATGATTTAATGATTATGTTTTATGAAACAATTTATGAGATAACATACTTATTGAGGTTAGTTTGAATTATTACTATTTTTCCTATAACCCGTGTTCTTTATCGAATATCTAATGGATGACGATATAATATTTAGAACATGTTTCGAACACCTCTTTATAGTATAAATGATGGATAACTTTATACTATGAGGTTGCCTTTCAAATATATGTATGTTCAATGGTTTTGTACTTACCTAGTGGTCCCTATTCCGCTACAGGGCAAGGGATAGATTCCATCACAGGCGAGGTTACGGTTTTGGCATAGGGCCTGAAGAAATAATCTCTAACTACGGGCTGAGAGACACCGGAAGCTGGCACGGGGCCTGGAGTGAGATTGGACATTCACTAGCGATTACTATATATACAAGATATGTTTTGAGACATTGCACGGCATGCTAGGTTTCAGAAAACCTATTTTATTTATCATACTATATGTGTTTCCATAAAACCTAGGGGTTAGAATGTTGATAGTTGTTTTATTATATATATATATATATATATATATATATCAACTTGGTCCACTCATGTTTGTTTTGCATCCCCTTCAGGACATAGGAATGAGAAACACGATCCGAATTGCGAGGCATTCCCCTACCAGTGATATCGTGCTATATTCTTTGCCTCGGCATCTATTGTAATAAAACTTCTCTATCTTAAATTTTCCGCTTGTACTCTGTATTAGACGTATACTCCAAACATGTCATGCATTATCTTAATATTTCATTATTGGCAGTTGACCTTCAGTTTTGTGTTATACGTTCCTATTGCATGGATGATCCCAATTTATATGCATGTTCTCAGCATTTGCATTAATTAAACGGCTTTCCTCACGTCTCGGGTGTCGGCCAGCACGTGCCCATCCTGATGTCCCGAGGAAATCGGGATCGGGGTGTGTCACCCACAACCTCTTTGCTTGTCAGAAAATATGGGAATTTATGAATGCAACAAATAATTCTGCATTGTTGAATTGGAAAGTTTTATTGATACTCACAATCTTATGAAGACACTCCACACTTTCATTTCTACACTTCAACTTTCTTTTTTACCCCTACTTGGATTAAGAAATGCTAAGGAGACTCTCAAAGTGGAACTTTCTATTGACTCTCTGCCACCTCACGTTTTTGGCACAATTCTCATACTAACATTACAAAATATTGTGCCAAAAACGTGAGGTGGCAGGAAGCCCATGGAGAGTCCCTGTTTTGAATTAGTATGAGTAAGGGGGAGTATGTTGTTGATGCTAATTTGGAGTGTTTTATCCATGATATTTAGTAACGGGAAGTACGCCATTGCTCATATTGTGACCTCATATATGCTTTTCATTGGGACGTTCTTGGTTTAGAGTTCTTATTTAATATTCTTGCTGAAGATATAAACGTTTCTATTCGAATCTACTAAAAGTTATCCTCTCACAAAATAAATAAATAAATAACAATAACAATAACAAAATGAGAAATGTTAAGGAGTTGGGACTCTCCATAGACTCTCCGCCACTTCATTATTTTGGCACAATATTTTATAATGTTGACTTGAGAATTTTTCCAAAAAGATGAAGTGACGAAAACTATGGAGAATCCCATTTTTAAGAGAGTCGCTTTAGCATTTCTTACTAAACACACCTTAGTCCTTCCATTTGACTAAAAAACCCAGAATAGGTGATGTCACGTTTTAGGATCACAGCAGCCAAGAAACAAGTATATTATATTAGTCAATCCCAGTTGAATAAAAAATAACATATTGAAATCTTCGTTTACATTTGTATGCACTTGCTGGTGGTAGCTGAAGCAGCAAGTATGTTAATGAGAGATCTGAGAGAGTTCAGGTGAATGGTGAGCAGCTCAAGGTGAATCGAAGGGCCGACCTTGATACTTGAGGATGATCTGTGATGCACTTGTAAAGCATTGAAGCCTCCTTCCCAGACCTAGAAACTTAGAGAAGAAAGTTATATACCAGGAGGTAGGAAGACTGATTAATTTGCTAGTGAGTTTGAGAGCACTGAGATTTTCATGTAAGTGAGCTACACAACACTACTACTGCAATCATTTTATAATTGTGTGTGTTTTCATGCTCTAGCTTTACACATATGTTTTGTTTTTTCTTCTGCAGCAACCAATTTTCACTTTTTCAGGCAATTTCTTTAAATTCTTGATGCAGTCTTTTTGTTTGGCCGATAGATAAGTGATAGATAAGGTTACAACTGAAAGGGAGAAAACATGATTACATGATTCAAGTCATAGAACATTATAGCAGCACCTTAGGGGATGGCATAGCCTTAAATAATAGGGGCGAGGTCCAAATGAAAAGAGGCCTACGGTGGATACCTAGGCACCTAGAGACGAGGAAAGACATAGTAAGCGACGAAATGCTTCGGGAAGTTGAAAATAAGCGTAGATTTGGAAATTCCTGGGTGAGCCAGACTACACATAAGTACCCGGACTGGCTGACTAGCAACCTACTCCTCATAGAAATTGGAAGGAGCCAGAATCCCCCTCCTTTAATCCCCCTACGCACCCAAAACAATAGAACCCTAATTACTAAGATTCTAGATGCATTTAGGTACAATAGAACTTGTCAGATTACATTTACAGATGTTCCCTAAATTTTGTGTTTGGTAAAATATTACCTCAGTTACTCAAGTGGCCCTTTACCACAGTAGTGGAAAAATGTTGAGCCCTTGCATGACGGCATGGGTTCAAATCCTGTCGGTAGCTAATCTAACAATATCTACCGTTTGGCCAAAAAGAAAAAAAAAATACCTTAGTTACTGAACAACATGAATGAATATCAGTTTCATTTTTGTGCTTTTATCTTCTACAACGTCTGCTTAAGCCTTAAACCATGGTTTTAAGATGCAGCTTCTTTCCTCCTCTCAAATTCTTCTTTTCCTTTGTAATTGTGCAGATTTTTCTATTCAGAGAGAAACACCATGGCAGAGGTTTTCTGGACCTTCTTCTGCAACAGTTCCGAATGTTCGACTGAGTCTGGAGCTGATTGCACTTCGGGTTTTTTATCCGTTATCGATCCAAATTCATGCATCAACAATATTTTGGTCATTGCAGTTGACATCTTGCTTCTGTTTATATTGTTATGTTTCTTCATATATAGATTGTCATCAAATAAAATAGCACCATCTCAGTCTCACACCATCTCTGCATTGTCAATTGTCTCAGCCAGCCTTAATTCCGGTTTGGCTTTTACCTGCTTGGGGTTTGGGATATGGACAATCGTCGACAAAGTAAATACCGATCAGTCTGTTTTACCTCTCCATGGATGGCTAGTTTTGTTCTTTCAAGGGTTCACATGGTTCCTTCTGAGTTTAACCATAACCCTGAAAAAACCACTCTCTCCACAAATTGTCATCACGAAATTTGTTTCGATTCTTGCCTTCTTGTTAGCTGCTTTTTTTTGCAGTTCATCGATTTGGGAAGCTGTTGTGGATGAGGCAGTGTCATTTCAGATTGTTGTAAACATTTTATATTTCCCCGGATCGATTCTCTTTCTCTTTAGTGCATTTCAAGGAAGCAGTAATGTAAAACTTGATACAGAAATCCATGATGATGCTTTCTACACACCTTTGCAAGGGGATGAATCGGATGTCAGAGGTGAAATCAGTTCAAATGACAACGTAACCCCTTTTGCAGAAGCAGGGTTATTCAGTACATTGTCATTTTGGTGGCTGAATCCACTGATGAAGAAAGGCAAGAAAAAGCTTCTTGAGAATGAAGATATTCCACAACTGCGAGAGGCTGATCGAGCAAGAACGTGCTACTCAATATTTATGGAGCAACTGGACAAAAGGAAGAAGCAGAGTTGCTCATCAGATAACTCTTCTATTTTGTCCATAATTTTTTTATGCCAGAGGAAAGCTATTTTGATAACAGGGTTCTTTGCATTGATCAAGGTTCTAACCCTGAGTAGCGGCCCACTGTTTCTCATGGCCTTCATTGACGTTGCTGAAGGCAATGCAGCTTTTAAATATGAGGGTTATGCACTTACTCTAGGTCTCTTCATCTCAAAAATCTTGGAGTCACTATCAGAGAGGCAATGGAACTTTAGAACAAGGTTGATTGGGCTTCAAGTAAGATCAGTGGTCTCTGCTGCAATTTATCAGAAGCAACTAAGACTCTCAAATTCTGCCAAGATGACTCACTCTCCTGGTGAGATAGTGAATCATGTAGCGGTGGATGCTTACAAAGTTGGGGAATTTCCATACTGGTTTCATCAGATATGGTCCACAAGCCTTCAGATGTGTCTTGCATTACTTATTGTTTACTTCTGTGTCGGGCTGGCAATTGTTGCAGCCCTCATTGTACTTATATTGACTATGGTGGCAAGCTTTCCGTTGGCAAAGTTGCAGCACAAGTACCAAACAAAGCTCATGGCAGCACAAAATAGGAGGCTGAAGACCAGTACCGAAGCGCTTTCAAATATGAAGATCTTGAAGCTGTATTCTTGGGAGGCAAATTTCAAGAATGTTATCGAAGGGTTAAGAAGAGAAGAATTGAAATGGTTAGCTCAAGTGATGTTTCAAAAGGGGTATTATAATGTTCTATTCTGGGCATCTCCTCTTTTGGTCACCACAGTTACTTTTTGGACATGCTACTTCCTCGGATATACACTTTCTTCAAGTAATGTTTTCACACTTCTGGCAACATTGCGGATTGTTCAGGAGCCAATTAGGCTGTTCCCAGATGTTTTTGGAGCATTTATTGAAGCAAAGGTTTCATTATCTCTGATTGTAAAGTTCCTTGATGAACCAGAGTTGGAGAACAGACATACAAAAGATAGCAGTGGCAAAGAGGTTGAGCGTTCCATTTTATGTAGATGTTCAGAAATTTCATGGTATACTAGTGCTACAAAGGCTACATTAAGGAACATAAATTTGGTGGTGAAACCGGGGGAAAAAGTAGCAATTTGTGGAGAGGTTGGCTCTGGTAAATCAACCCTGTTAGCTGCAATTCTCGGAGAAGTTCCACGCATTGGTGGTGTTGTAAGTAACCAAATCACATGGGGGTAATTATTCTTCCAATTATTATAGACAGGAAGCCTTACTTAGATATTCTGACTGCCAATTTTTTCAGGTTCAAGTCTACGGGAAGATGGCATATGTTTCTCAGTCTGCATGGATCCAAACCGGAACTATACAAGAAAATATTCTGTTTGGTTCTGCCATGGACAATGTTAGATACCAAGAAACAGTTAGCAAGTGTTCTTTAGTGAAGGACCTTGAGATGCTTCCATTCCGCGATCTCACTCAGATAGGAGAAAGAGGTGTCAATCTAAGTGGTGGGCAGAAGCAGCGCATTCAACTTGCACGTGCACTCTATCAAAATGCTGATGTCTACCTCTTGGATGACCCTTTCAGTGCAGTTGATGCCCATACAGCGACAAGTCTATTCAATGTAGCACTTCTTTTTGTGCCTCACACTAATAATGAATGACGATATTGTCTTTCTCTTTTTTCAAATTTCTCCAGTGAAAGCTAATGCGACTGTTTTCCAGGAATATGTCATGGGAGCTCTAGCGGAGAAGACAGTTTTGCTTGTGACACACCAAGTCGACTTCCTTCCAGCTTTTAATTCGATATTGGTATTTAAGAACATTTTTACATGGGTTTACTGATACCATTCTTCTTAATCCGTTCGACAATCAACTAGGTAAGTCCCATATGTAACATAATTTTCTTCACAGTTGATGAGTTCAGGGAAAATTTTAAGAGCAGCTCCATATGAAGAGTTGCTGGCTTCTTGTCCAGAGTTCCAAGACCTCATTAATGCACACAATGACACTGCTGGTTCTAGAAGCCAAGTTGAATATGCTTCTACCAGAAAACATAAATTACCTAGGGAGGAGATTGAGAAATTTACCACCGAATTACCATATGAAGAATCTTCAGGAGATCAATTGATTAAGCAAGAAGAGAGAGAAACAGGAGATACTGGTTTCCAGCCATACATCCAGTATTTGAAGCCGAGCAGGGGATTTTTCCATTTCTCCATGGCCATTGGTTTCCACTCCATTTTCATACTTGGGCAACTAGCTCAAGTTTTTTGGTTGGCTTTAAAGCTGCAGGATTATAGCGTGTCAAGAGCAAAACTCTTCGCTGTTTATTCTGTGATCATGTGTCTAATGATACTTGCTTTGGTCATTCGAACTTTCTATCTGGTCTACTTGGGATGTGGGGCTTCAAACTCCATTTTTCAAACCCTGCTGAACTCTCTTTTCCGAGCACCAATGTTGTTTTATGACTCGACACCTTTGGGCAGGATACTTAGTCGAGTAAGACTTACAGAGTTTGAAAAGCTGTTTTTAAAAGATGTTCTTTTAAGTAAGCTATTGGAACTAACATTAACATTTGCATCGACTCTTTTGTTTAGGTATCCACTGATATGAGTATCATTGATCTTGAAGTACCTTTCAAGCTGATTATTGCAATTTCGGGAATTCTGAACACATATAGCATATTTTTAGTATTGGTTTTCCGTACTTGGCCCGTTGTGTTTCTGATTATTCCCACAATTTATATTACAATATTTTTACAGGTACTGCACTATGAGAAACATTCTTGTTTAGTTCTTCAATGATTTCCTTACATTCTTGTTTGGCTCTAAGCATAAAATATTCTATTTGATTTTCCTTTCTACAAACAGAATTACTACTTTGCTTCGGCCAAAGAGTTGATGCAAATGAATGGCACAACTAAGTCTGCCCTTGCAAGCCACCTTGCTGAATCTATCGCTGGAGCCTTGACAATCCGAGCTTTTGGACAGGAGGATCGGTTCTTGTCAACAAATTTGAAACTTATTGATGCAAATGCTGCTACTGACTTCAATGGATTTTCTGCAAATGAGTGGTTGATAGGAAGGCTTGAGCTCGTTTGCGCTATCATTCTTTCAGCCTCAGCACTTGCCATTACTTTGATTCAGTTTGACACTTCTTCCTCTGGTTAGTAAACACTAGCATCCACCATCATATTTTCCTCAGAACTTTAAACAATTCAGTTTACCATCTGTGGTGCATCGTTTACATTTCAAGTGTCGTGCCCCTAATTAAACCATTCTGCTTAATCTTTTTACAGGATTTGTTGGCATGGTACTATCCTATGGTCTTTCATTGAATGTATTCGTCGTAATTGCTGTCCAATTTCAGTGCATGCTTGCAAATTCAATCATATCTGTTGAAAGGGTGGAACAATACATGCATATTCCTAGTGAAGCTCCGGAAGTAATAGAAGAGAACCGACCTATGTGCAATTGGCCTACTGTTGGCAAGGTAGAAATACATGATCTAAAGGTTAGTGCAACAGAAAATTTACAAAAGAGTATAACTCTAACAATGCCCGGAACTTGTGTATGATAACTAATGAAACTTATGCAGGTAAGATATAGGCCAAATGCCCCGCTAGTTCTTCGTGGGATAAATTGCACAATTGAAGGAGGCGACAAAATTGGTATTGTTGGCCGGACTGGAAGTGGGAAGACTACTCTTATTAGCATTTTGTTTCGTCTGGTAGAGCCTACAGAAGGAAAGGTCATAGTGGATGACTATGACATTTGCACAATTGGACTTCATGATTTAAGATCACGTTTTGGGATCATACCACAAGATCCAACTCTGTTCAGTGGATCTGTGAGATTCAATTTAGACCCCTTATCAGAGTATACCGATCATCAAATATGGGAAGTAAGGTTTTTGCCATGAAATTAGCGTTTCAAAACAACCATTTGACATTGAAGATATGTCAACATTGAGTATTTAGCAAGATGTAAACACAGCTTTACACTATGACCTTTTTTTTCTAACTTAATTTATCTTCCATCAATGTGTAAAAGGTTCTTGAGAAATGTCAGTTGCGAGAGGCCGTTCAAGAAAAGGAAGACGGCCTTGATTCTTCAGGTAATAAACTCAGTCTGTCTCAGAGGAGTGCTTTTTGGTGTCAGTGAAACATCATTGTTATCTGAAATTGTCTATAAAACAAGAGGTAATTAAAAACTTGAACAGCAGTTGTACAAGATGGAACAAACTGGAGCATGGGACAACGACAACTATTCTGTTTGGGACGTGCTTTGTTGAAGAGGAGCCGAATACTGGTGCTCGATGAAGCCACTGCATCAATGGACAATACAACAGACGCTATTCTGCAGAAAACTATTAGAACAGAATTTGCATACTGCACTGTAATAACCGTGGCTCATAGGATACCAACCGTGATGGACTGTACAAAAGTGCTTGCTATTAGTGATGGTAAGCATTGCTTTTGCTACAAATCTCTTATTTATGTTGTTTTAGTTGTTAATTAATTAGCGAAATGCACAATGACAGGGAGAGTGGTGGAGTATGATGAGCCAAAGAAGCTGATGAGGAATGAGGGCTCACTATTTGGGCAGCTAGTCAAGGAATATTGGTCTCGTGCTGGTGCTGCTAATGCCGGCATCCACTCAGAAGATAGAATCAATTAAACTGAAATATCATTTTTCATTAGCATCATGCCATTGTTGGATTTTTGGATTGCCGAGCCGCCCCACTTTAACGACACCAACATTATCCACAACTTTATCACATGCCCAATCCTTTAGGTGTGGGATTTTACCACAAAAGGCCTTGATATTAGTTAGAGTAGGGTAATCTTATTTAAACCCATTGTGGATCCCCACCAATGTGGGATTCTTAACACTCACCCTCACGTGTAACCTCATTTAGTGGTTCACACATGGAGATTCACATCGGTAATTCAAACTTAGAGGTCGGCTCACATTGGGCCCACTTGTTTTCAATGGAACTCAGCAGTCATCTCTATATTAAGAGTTCAAACTTGTTTCCTTATGGATGACAAGCTCGTTGGCTTGCACGGGCCCAAACCTTGGCTCTGATATCATGTTGGATTTTTGGATCTCCGAGCCCGCCCCACTTTAATGACACCGATATTGTCCTCAAATTTACCAATTGTCCAATATGTCAACTGTGGGATTTTACCACAAAAAGCCTCGATATTAGTTAGAGTAGGGTAATCCTATTTAAAACCATTGTGGGACTTTATCCCCACCGATGTGGGATTCTTAACATAAAACTGTTGGGAATGCTTAATTACTTTAAAGAGTAAGGAGGAGAGTGAAAGGGTGATGCCATCCAACTAGAGCCAACAAAAAATTATGGGCTCCTACTGAAACACTTTCCATCCCTCAAAAGCCAACCTGCTTTCAATACTAGTTGTTACGTTACACTGCCATTTAAGGTTGAAGCTTCAATATTCGGAAAGGGTTACAATCTAAACTCTAAATCCTAATGTATTAGGTGTTGAGATTATTATTATTATTATTATTATTTTTTTTTTTTTTTTTGTTTTGAAGAAACAAATATCTGCACTAAAGGGGTGGGGAGTGAGCTAAGCCTTACAATGAGCTTGCCATAATAATGTGGTTCAATTTTTCCCTTGACAAGAATCGAACCTAAGATATCTCACTTACAAGTGAAGAGAAATATTATTAGACCGTAGTACTAAGCGACTTTTGGACCAAATGATGATATTGTGTTGTTTCTTTATATCGTGAGAAGAGTCCAACTATATTTTTTAGCAGACTTAGGTTTATTTTCTTAACCTTGCCGATTTTGGAAGATCATAGTGGATTAATTCATTAAGAAAATTGCATACGAATTGTTCTGGTCTATTGAGGAACTGCTGATAAATGAAACAAAAGATTGGGAAAAGTGAGTAGTTTATTTAATTCTCCACTCATTATAATAACACTTGACTCTTTATATGTAAGGGGTCATTCCTGATGACGCAGGGAAGCTTATAGAAAAAGTGATGAATTAGGAATAGGAATCGTAGCTCAGGGACTCGAGCGGAACTAGAACAGAGCAAAGTATTTGCTGGAAGATTTTAATCAACATTTAAAGTCTAACTGGCAGGCCATTTTGTACAGTACTTATACAAGGCTTACAATATTAAGACTTCTAGTTTCTATGGGACTCTAACGCTCTCCAACAGTAACTTGAAAATTTCTAAGCGACAACTTAATTAAGCCTTCTACCTCTAATGTGCATGAGCTGGCATTTAATGGCCCTTGTCTGCTCCATCAATTCCATGAGGATTTTCACCGCGCTGATGAAAGTTGAGGTTCTACTATAAAATTAATTGGTAATAAGGAGTAGTCCAATTACTTATAGAGCATGCAACGTCCCTTGTTTTTCCAATATGAAATTCGTACTCTCAACACGTACAAACATTGTAATTTCAACCGTTCATTCTCCTCATCATGTAAAGATCACATTTGGAAAAGTTCATTTAATTTGGATACAATTTACCCTTCCATATGTGTTGAACTAATCAATGGTTATGGTAACCATTAATATCCTCATGATTAACCGTGAACTTGTTTGATTTATTTAAATGACTAAACAGTCTTTATTAGATTATTATAAAGAAAATGAATGGTTCAGATTAAAACATTTTATGGGAAAATGAATGATACCACATCGTCATGTAAGGAATAACGGAAAGAGTTAAGCAGTGTCCATCAAAACAGGTCATGGCACGAAATGGATACGCAATCCGGCCATGCCCGAAAGGGTTTATTGCCGACGCAGTTAGCAGAGACTTGATCAATGTGGCTCCATGTGTTTAAAACAGACTCAGCATTCAGTACACTCTGTAAACTAGCAATATGCCAGTATCTAATAACTATTGTTAAAAGTAGATAAAAACAGTACTATGAAAACTGGTCACAAGTTTGAGCTAGTAACATGATATTTCACCAGCTCTGCCTAGGCAGGAGCACCACTTTTTAACTGGAAATAAAGAAGAAAGTAGTAAAGCCCCAGAAGGTTGCTACTAGTAATGTTGTTGCTGTCTTCTGAAAGTTCACTGCCACTCTCTGGGAGTAGAACTGTAGAAGCACTCTTCCGTCGTTGCTACCATAATCGTCGCAAAAGGCTTCGCAACCCAACTTTGTGGCCCATGAAAGTAGTTTCCCTTCTCCAAGTAATTAAGCAAAGTTTCTTAAAAGCTTTTTCATGTCTACTTCCCTACAGGGCACATTTATTTTGAGAACCAAAAATGCAAAAAAATGCTGTTTTGTTAGATGACCCACATGAAGAAATATGCAACATCCACTGCTTCTTAACAGCGAACAAATGTTAAAGTTCTTATCAGCCAACAAATGTTGAAGGTGTGTTGCCTACGTTCACATCTCTTGGCCTTAACAAAAAAGATATAGTTTTCCTATATAAAGGCTTATCAGTTCACAAATATGCATATAGAAAAGAGAAAAAAAGTATGCAATCTCTTATTTTCCATTGCTTTGTAATTTCAGTTTAATAATGAGAGAGACTACTGCTACTGCCCCAAGGACGTAGGCATGAACACTTACCGAACCTTGTAAATATTTTGTCTTATTTACTTTATGTTCTACTGCACACATACCGTCGATTTCACAATAAATATCTTATTTTCAATTAATTTCAATTTTTCAAAAGGGAGTTAAAAGATTTTGAATAAAATTTTGGTAGAACAAGTCTCAAGTCCAACTCATAAATACAATGATGATATTATTTGTGATAAATTCAACACCTAATTGTGATTTTGCAGTTGCGCAGCTTTGCCGTGTTCGTTGTAAAAATATCTATATAAACAGAAAATCACTTGTTAATAAGCAGAAAATGTTTTCACCTTTCTGCCTAACAGATCAAGAGTCCTTTTTGCATTTGTGTTTACAATTATATGCGGCTGGTTGTAGAAGAAATTAAAAATTTTAACGAATGCCACATTCAAAGCAGGGCATATATGTAATTGTAAGAAGATGAATGAGCTGCTCCCACTGATCTTCTAGGTTCAAGGTGAATCAAGGGCTGATATGTCGTTGACTTTCTAAAGGATTTGATGCCACCCATGCATAACTTGAAGAACAAGTTATACACTAGCAAAAGCTCTCCAGCAACATATGAGGAGTAATTCAATTACTTATGAGTACGTGTAAGGTTCTTCCTTTCCTTTATGTGGGATTCCACTCTCAACACATCTCCTCACGTGTGGTGAATTTTCATACCTAACATGTGAACAACACAAATTGATAATATAGAACGCGTGTAGTCGTTAAGCTTCACACATGTAGCTGTTGCTAATTTTGTCAAATGTCCAATATGGCATGATACTTTAGAGAGTAGTGCTTGCTGGTTTATTAAACACAGGACAATAAATTGAATACATTTCTGGTAAGGGAACGTGATTTTTCGTATCTTTTTTTTTGCATGGCTGACCTTTTTTTATTGTTATACTGCCAGGGTTAGTTGTTACTCTTTGTTGAGAGTGAATCTCACTTGGAGAAATGAGGGATCTTGCATGTACTTATAAGTAATTGGGCTACTCCCAATAGTGCCAATTGGTTTTATGGTGGAACTTCAACTTTCTTTATGGTGTTAGAGAAGGTTGTCCTATATGTAAAGCCCAATGACCAAATGCGCTCCACGTCACCTAATTTGTGTTGTCCACGTATTAGACTTGAAAATTCACCACATGTAAGAATATGTGTTGAGAGTATGTCCCACATCGAGGAAAAAAGAGACCTTGCATGTGCTTATAAGTAATGAGTTACTCCCCTTATTGCCAATTGGTTTTATGATGAAATCTCAACATTCTTCATGATATCAGAGTACGTTGTCTCACATGTAAAACCCAACGGCCACATGCGCTCCATGTCACTCAATTTGTATTGTCCACGTGTTAGGTTTGAAAATTCGCCCCGCATGAGAGATGTGTTGAGAGTTGAAACCCACATAATGGAAATGAGAGACCTTGCATGTACTTATAAGTAACTAGCCTACTCCCCATATTGACAATTAGGTATCTTTATATATATAGCCAACAACCCCTTTTGGAGTCACAAGCTTCACCAAAACTTTTTGGACAAAAATGCCCCCAAAACAAAAAATTGCAAAAGCAATCCAAAATAATGCATCAAATAATGCATGGGTATTTTCGTCATTTTAACAGTATTTTTTTAATGATTAATTTTTTTGTACAGTTTTTTTTTTTAATTAGTACCTCATAATAAGCTAGCAATAATGTGATTCATTTAGTTGTTCATTAAATATTATTTTCTTTATTTTTAAACACGTTCAAAACATCTTATGAAGTGTGTAATGCCGGTTATAAAAAAAGTATTTCTCACGCACATAATAATGTGATTAAATTAGTTGTCAAATGATTGTTTTTTTTTTTTGAGCAAACAATATTATCTACACTAAAGGGGAGGAGAGTGGGCTTAACTTCACAATGAAATAGCAATAATGTGATTCAATCAGTTGTTTATTAAATATTATTTTCTATATTTTTAATGTAAATTCAATATAATGTAGATGGAAATTGAAAGACCGATTTTATTACGTGAATTCAGCTGCTTTGATTGGTTTGTGAAGGGTTATTTCTAGCATGATCTAAGATTATTCATTTACTTCAAATATTTGATTTTCTTTTTGTCAATTCATGCATATAAATACATTTAAAACGTGTAAGTCGTGCGTGAACTCGTGCATGAAGGCTAGTATGGTAGAACTTCAATTTCATCCATGCTGCACCCAAAAGCTTAAGCTATTATGAAATGGGCAAACAACGCATGGCAGCACATGTATGCATTTTTTGTATGAATCCAAGGAGCTCACATTGGATTTCCAATGCTAGAAAGGTTTATTACACGAGATGTAAATTATTCTCCACTATGTTGGAAGAGATTTTTAATTCAAATTTTGTGAGCAACTAGCAAGGGT